TAATTTCACTTCTAGGAATTTTTTAAGATACATTATGTGCCAAAGGTGATGTGCAAGGATATAATTGGCAGCATTGCTCAGGAACAACTTCAGTGTCAACAATAGGAACTGTTAGAAATGTGGCACACATCAACATACTGGCATATTATGCAGCTATTAAAAACTGCTTCAGCCCGGCCGATGTGGCTCAGTGGTTGAGCGTCAATCTATATGAACCAGATCAGGGTTTGATTCCCGGTCAGGGCACATGCCCAGGTTGCGGGCTCGGTCCCCAGCAGGGGGTGTGCAGGAGGCAGCCGGTCAATGACTCTCATCACTGATGTTTCTCTCTCTCTCCCTCCCTCCCTCTCTCTCTCTGAAAATAAAAACGTGTGTGTGCACGCACGTGTATAAAAAGACTACTCTTAAAAACACCCCTGCTTTTGAATAGAAAAGTATGATAGAAAATGGTAAAATAGTGACAGTCATTGACTCTGGCAGGACTAGACGTGATTTTAACTTTTCTGTATTTTTCAAGCCTTCATCAAAAGGTTTCCTTTATAATAGGGAAGAGGTTATTTACAAAAAGGGGGGCAAAAGGAAGATGAACATGGCCAAGTGCACTGACAACCCCCTGTGGGTGAGGCCCCCAGAAGGCAGGGCAGGGTGTGGGGGTTCACAGCTGACATCAAGTTCTGTAAAGACCCTTGGAGTTGCTCCTTCCCCGCAAATGGGAAGCTGCTCCTCGAGCAGCTGCCTTGGCAGCTCCGCATGGCCGTCTAGGAGGGTGTGGGAGGAAAAATGCACAAACGCACTTATGAATGGAATGTGTGTTTTGCAAGAGACCAAGTTGGCAGCTTTGGCTTCCAAAAGGTGGGAGTGTCGGCCGAAAGAACAGTGTGTACAGACGGAGGCCTCAGAGGCCTGTCGTCCCGTCCCATCTCTGCAGTTCTGGAGTTGGGGGCCCATAAGGGACCTCTAGCCCCACCCATCCAGAAGGAAATGGCCTTGACTTCCCAGGAGCAAAGGGAGCTCTCATCTGCTGTGTGGTCCTCAGTAAAATGTTACTGCCAGTGTGGGCTCTCCATAATTTATGAAGTAGGTACTAATGTCCCATTTAAAGGTGAGGAAACAGGCTCAGAGAGGGAAAATAATTCACCTAGCACGCTGTTCTGTCAATTTCCACAAACTGCATCTTTGAATTTTTACAATAATCCTTGAAAGTAGCGACTTTCTCATTTTATACAGCCGAGGAAATGGACTCAAACGAGGTTAAGTGACTCGCTCAGGAGCAGAGCTGAAGTGCCACCAGGCCTGTCCCCATCCAAAGGCAGACACTGTCTCTCAGCACTGGATTCTCAAGAGGCAAAGAGCAGCTTGGCTCCCCACTCGAGCTCAGCTGGGCAGGAGGAGTCCAGCAGTGCTGTCGGTTCGGGATGCTCTCGGGGCCTTGCAGGGAGGTTGGCCTGGGGACCCTGCCTCTATATAGGGACCTTCACAGAGCAGTGTCTCAACCCAAGGCAAGCTCTTCGGTCCCTGCTCCTGGTTCCCAGCTTTCGCAGGGGGCCAGATCATTGGGAAGGACTCACGCTGCCTCAAATGCCCAACCTTGACAGTTAATTTTGAGTAGAATTTTTTTTCTAATTATAAAAGCAACATATTGGTGCTACACACAGAAAAGCATTTGGTAAACCTAATCTGCCAGTCCCATAGCCAGAGAGAGAGTTCTGATTTGGGCATGTAGTCTGCCCACTTTTTGTCCTAAGCCTATGCATGCTTTTGTATATTATCTTCTACATAAACGGGCCCCTCTAACCCTCCATGCTTCACACAAGTACCGTGAACGCACGATCCCCCCCTTCACAGCAGTCCTGGGAGGTCTGGGTCATCATCACAGGCAGTGATGTCACCTCACTCACGTTCGTACAACAGACACGGGAAAGCCGGATTCAGTGGGGCAGTCCGAGTTGAGGTGCACTGCTGCTCCCCGCAGGCCTCGAGTTGCACGCGTGGCGTGCACCCACAGGTGACTTTCTAAGACGCCACCTAGAGCACTGTAATAGGCCTGTGACGTTTCCTCCGTACATGTTTTTGAGAGACTGCCCTGTTACTGTAGGGTGAATTCCAGACGTGGAATTGCTGGGGCCCAGCGTTTGGAGCACTTCCTAAGGATTTTGGTGTGGCACGTACTGTATCCGAGATTAGGTCACCTTTTTTGGAGGGCAGCCAGTATCTGTCAGTTTTGGAACCGTGTGCCTGTGCCCATGTCCTTTCCAAGCCCGCATGTTAACAGTTCGGGCGTTCATAAAATTTCCGAGCACTGGCTTTCCTGAAATCCAGGCTTCGGCCCTAGGGAGTGATCTGGCGTGACGGGGGCACCTGGTGGTGAAGGGCAGCACTGCAGCCTCCCTGCAGGGAAGGCGCATTTCCAGCCGGGCTTGGCGGGGGCGTCCAGGCTGGGGAAAAGCTCGAGCCTGCCTTCGACTCTCCGCTGCCCGGTGGACCCGCCAGGCTCTCAGCTCGGCCTGTCTTTTCCCTTCAATCTCATAACAGCCGTCAGTGAGGAAACGGTTTGCCTCACGGAAACTTCACAGATATTACAACTCTGACGACAGCACAATGGCTGGGTTTTCTCCACAGAAGTTTCTCCTGTTTCCTTCCCTGGGTGTGGCCTTTACTAGGAGGGCAGCATGGAGTGAGCACCCGCCACAGTGCTGTGTGTCAACCCTCTCACGCAAAGAGCACAAATGGGTTTCCTCCCCTCATGCAGTCTTAGATGAGGAATGCTTGAATTTTAGGCATTTATTGAAAACTTATACGTTATATATGGAACCACAAAAGACCCGGGATAGCAACAGCGATCTTGAGACAAGAACAAAGTTGGAGGAATCACGCTGCTGATATCAAACTACTACAAGGCCATAGTCATCAGAACAGCATGGGACTGGCATAAAAACAGACACAGATCAATGGAACAGACTAGAAAGCCCAGAAATAAACCCACACCTATATGGTCAATATTTGACAAAGGAAGCAAGAACACACAATGGGGTAGACAGTCTATTCAATAAATGGCGCTGGGGAAATTGGACAGATCTGTGCAAAAAACCAAACCAGACCACCTCTGACATCACACATACAAATAAACTCAAAATGGATTAAAGACTTAAATGTTAGACTTAGAACCATAAAAATCCTAGAAGAAAATATAGGCACTAAAATCTCCGACATTTATAGCAATATCTTTTCTGAGATATCTCTTCAGGCAAGGAAACAAAATAAAAAATAAACAAATGGGACTACATCAAACTAAAGAGTTTTTGCACAGAAGAGAAAACCTGATTAACAAAATGAAGAGAACCCACTGTATGGGAGAACATATTTGCCAATGATACATCTGATAAGGGGTTAATATCCAAAATTTATAAAGGACTTAAAAAATACCACCAAAAGAACACACAATCCATTAAAAAATGGGCAAAAGGCCTGAGTAGACACCTCTCCAAAGAGGACAGATGACCAAGAGACATATGAAAAGATGCTCAACATCTCACTGATCAGAAATGCAAATTAAAACCACAATGAGGTATCACCTCACATCTGCCAGAATGGCTGCCATCAGCAAATCAAACATGTTGGGGAGCATGTGGAGAGAAGGGAACCCTTGTGCACTGTTAGTGGGAATGCAGAGTGGTGCAGCCACTGTGGAGTTACAGTAAAATCTCGATAGAACAGACTAATTCAGGCGAGGGGTGTCTGTTAAAGCCAAAAGTCCATTATATATTACAGTAGGTTTTCCCAATGCATATGTTAAAAGATTGACAAATTAGTTTACCTGTTTTTACTTATGTAGACACATTTGGGTAATTATGTATGAAAAGTTTAATTTCACAGAAAAGTTTTCTATATGTATTATTGTAATTCTAAATTGATAATGAATAGGCCTAGTAAGTGTGTGCATTCACCTGTCACTGAGTGTAAACAAATGCACACAGCTGGGGCGTGGCTTAACACACATCAGAATATCTGCCTACAAGTGTTAAAACTGCTGCAGAAAGTCACACCATGCTACAACAGAACCAATCACCTGGCACGATGCGGTGTGATCACGTGCTAATCATTCCCTGAATTGTTTACCAGTAGTGACTCTTGGGTTTATATATGTATAGTTGTAGATAAGTAATATTTATGTTGGCAAAATTACTAGTTTTTTTCCAAACATAGGAACTATTCACTAAATTTTGTTAAAAATAACAGTGAATTAATAACAAAAAATAACCTGTTAATTTGATTATAAGTAAACCTTCGTTAAAAGCATTCTAAAATTAACGGTGTTAATTTTCACCTATGACATACAGACCAGAAATTTTGTCCATTAAATCTAAAGTCTGTTAAACTGAGGTCTGCAAAAATCGAGGGTTTACTGTACCTCAAAAAATTAAAAATGGCTCTGGCCAGTGGGCTCAGTGGTTAGAGCATCGGCCCTCACATGGAAGGGTCACAGGCTCAGTTCCCAGTCAAGGGCATGTACCTGGGTTGCAAGTTTGGTACTGCCCAGGTCAGGGCACATGTGGGAAGCAACCAATCAATGTGTGTCTCACATCAATGTTTCTCTCTGTCTCCCCCCCTCCCTCGCTCCCACCCACTCTCTCTAATCAATAGAAAAAATATCCTCAAGTGAGGATTAAAGAAAAAAGTTTTTAAATGGAACTGCCTTAAGACACAGCCATTCCACTTCTGGGAATTTATCCAAAGAAACCTGAAACACTCATTTGAAAGAATATATGCCCCCCTATGTTAATCGCAGCTTTATTACAATAGCCAAGATCTGGAAACAGCCCAAGTGCCCATCAGCAGATGATGGATAGAAAAGCTGTGGGACATTCACACCATGGCAAAGTACTCTGCCGTAAAAAGGGAGAGAATTTTACCCTTTGCAACAGCATGGATGGACTTGGAGAGCATTATGCTAAGTGAAATAAGCCAGTCAGAGAAAGATAAATAGCATATAATTTCACTCATGTGGAATTTAATGAACAAACTGAACTAACAAAGAAGAGACAGACTCAGAGAGAGCAGGCTGACAGCTCTGGTGAGGGGAGTGCTGGGGTAGGGGTAACGGAGGAATTGAGCAAAAATGAAAAAAAACCCCTCGTGAACAAAAGTGTCGCGATTGCAGGTGGGAGGTGGGTGGGTGGAGGTGGAAGAGCGCATAGAGGGGATAAATGGTGATGGAAAATAAAACAGGAAATGTATACATCATATGAATGGACCAGAACCCTTAGCTGGCACACCCACAGAAGCTGTGTGCTGCACTGAGAAGCTGCAGCTTGACCGCATGCTCTGCCATTGCCCACAGGGACAGGAAATGGATGTGGTGGTGGCGGCTGACTCAGGAACACACATTTGGGGTGATGCTCTCCTCTTCCTTTTTTATTCCCATCAGTCCCAGGCCAGGGAGAGATCCATGAGTGCTGCAACGAATGAAGCGCAGAGACGAGTTTCATCCACAGGGTTGAATGGTTAGAAACACACAGGGGAGGCAGGGCTCTTCTGGAGGTATGTGTACGTGTGCCATGGGGCAGGGGTGGGGGTGGGCAGCTGAATCGCTATGGAAAGCTGCCTGCTGCAAACAGGTTCAATGGAAAGAACACTGGCCCTGGTTGGGCAGTTCAGTTGGTTAGTGTAGTCCCAATACGCCAAGGTTGTGGGTTCAATCTCCGGTCAGGCCACATGCAAGAAGCAAACAATAAATGCACAAATAAGTGGAACAACAAATTGATGTCTCTCTCTCTCTCTCCCCCTTTTCTCTCTCTAAAATCAATAAATTAAAAGAAAGAAAAAAGAAAATACTGGTAGTGCTGGAGGCCTAGAATCAAATCCTAGCTCAGTCAACAGATGCGAGGCACATCTCAACCTAAGGTGAATGACCTCAAGCTGAGCCTCAGTTTCTGCAACTCTTACACATTTAAATTACTACGTCACAGGGCTTTTGTGAGGACTACAGATGATCACAGCGAACATATGGAGGGAGCACTTACCACATGGCCAGCATCGTCTAAACTCTTTCTTTTTTTTTAATGATCTTTGGGGGGGAGGAGGGGGAAGAAAGATTGACTGGTTGCCTCCCTTANAACATATGGAGGGAGCACTTACCACATGGCCAGCATCGTCTAAACTCTTTTTTTTTAATGATCTTTGGGGGGGGAGGAGGGGGAAGAAAGATTGACTGGTTGCCTCCCTTACTTGCCCTGATCAGGAACTGAAGCTGCAACCTTTTGGTATACAGGACGATGCCCCAACCAACTGAACCACACTGGCCAGGGCTCTGAACACTTTCTATGCGTTCTCATTTAATCCTCAAAAGAACTCATATACCTGGTGTAGGTACTGATACAGGTATAATCATTATGTCCACTTTTCAAATAAAAGAGGCTCATAGGCATAACCTGCTCAAGGGATATGACTTAAGTGACAGGTAATAATGGCAACATGCCACCCAAGTCCTTTTAAATTGCTGTTAGAGTTTATTCTTTTGTTGCTTTTACTTAAAACACCTGTAGCACCTACCATGTTGCAGGCACTGTTTGAAAAATTTTACAGAACATTAACTTACTTAATAATTTGTATTGTAAACTATCTAGTCAGTGCTTAGAATTTAGGAGTCATCTAACCCATGTTAGTTCCCAGCCACCATGTAGTCAATATTCATGGAACTGTGTTAGAAGGTGGCAGAGCTCTTCAGGCAGAGCAGGCAGAAATAAGCAAAAACAAACCCAGAAGCTGTCTCCCCTGATGCCTTAACAGAAGCAAAGCAGCATGAGGCCTTCTGGGCTCTGAGTGCTGGAGTGGCTCAGGAGTCACGTCATCACAATTCACCCCGACTGCATCTGCCATCTGTGTGACCTCAGGCCAAGTTACTTAATCTGAGCCTTTTTCTCCACTTGTTCAGTGGTGAGGTTCAACAACCTCAACCAAACATGCATATCAAAGCATTTAGCACAGTGCCTCACACTTATTAAGGGTTTGATGAATTATACAAAATATTAATATTTTCAATATTAATTTTAGCAGCTACCAGAAATAGTGGAGTCAGACCCCCAGCATAAACAAACCTTCTATTTTCGCCCTACCAGGTTTTGCTCAGTGGTTAGAGCAACAGCCCGTGGACTGAAGGGTCTTGGGTTCGATTCTAGCCAAGGGCATGTACCTTAGTTGCCAGCTTGATCCCTGGCCCTGGTCCGGGTGCGTGTGGGAGGAAACCAATCCACGGTTCTCTCTCACATCGATGCTTCCCCCCCCCCTGTAATTTTACTCTCTCTGCAAAGCAATGAAAAAAATAAATATCCTTGAGTGAGGATTGAAAAAGAAAAAAAAAAGCCCGGCCAGTGTGGTTCAGCAGTTGAGCATCAACCTATGATCCAGGAGATTGTGGTTTGATTCCCAGTCCGGGCACATGCCTGGGTTGCAGGCTCAATCTCTGGTAGGGGACGTGCAGGAGGCAGCCGATCAATGACTCTCTCATTGATGTTTTCCTTTCTCCCTCTCCCTTCCTATCTCTGAACTCAATAAAGACATATTTTGAAAAAACAAAACAAAAAAACCCATTCTCTTTGCTGTCTTCCTGAGTCACTTTTACGCTTTTCCCAGGGTTGTCTGCTGGCATCATGCATACAGCTGCAGACAAGGCCCAGAGTAAGCTGCATGCTCCTGCTGGTGGTTTCATCAGTACCCACAGAAATCAGAGGGCAACTTACAGGAAAGGAGTAGTATCAGGTTTCCTTACTGTAGGACTTGCTATTTCCAGAGTTTTCTCCTGACTTATCGAACATATCTCAGGACCTATGGTTTAGTCACAGCCTAAGCCTTTTTGCTCCCTGACCCCAACACTCGCTCCTTCAAGACCTCACCTACTGAAGAACATCTTGGCCACTTCTGAAAGGAGAAAGCTTTGGCCCACTCTTGGCTATTTACCTGCACCATGGGGAACATGAAGACCAGTCTCCTATTCTACCCCTAGTGCCATACACTGGACCTGAGAAGCTGGCCAGGGCAAGTCTGTCTGCTGCCCAGTACATGTTCTTCACCAAAAAGCTGTGTTGGCAATTTTCAGTCACTTTTTAATCTCCTGCTGTTAGCCTCCCCACATGCCTGTTTAAAGAATATCAGTCTGAACACCTAATACTTTTGTTTTTCAGAGACAGCAGTCCCCTAAAGCTGCCCAGCAGGTAGCCTATCTAACTAGTGGTCCTGAGATGCCTGTGACAAGGATTTTATGACAGGAAATTTCTGATGCAGGATTCAAAGCCTTAGGCACTGTTGTTCTGTTACCTGGGACTTAATTTTAAGGGACTTTTTAGAAATAAGATCCAATGATTTTCAATTTATGCTCAAAGAGCAAATGCCTTCCCTCCGCTCACTCGAAATACAGACTCCTTCATCCATCCCCTCCCTCCCAATACAGAGATTCCTTCATCCATCCCCCCTCCCTCCCAATACAGACTCCTTCATCCATCCCCCACTCCCTCCCAATAGACTCCTTCATCCATCCCCCCTCCCTCCCTTCCAATACAGACTCCATCTAACCCCTCCCTCACTCCCTCCCAATACAGATTCCTTCATCCATCTGTTCCCTCACTGGCTCCAACTGCCTGTCTTACACTTTAAGATTTAACACAAGTTTTTTTGTAAAGAAAACCTTTATAGTTAAAAGGGTTTGTAAATCACTGCTTTACTCCAAAAATCCCTAATTTTACCGAAGGGAAACTGAGACCCAAAGTAGGAAAGTAGCTTGGCCATGTGTCAGAGGCCATAGGTGACAGAGCTGGGACTGAAACCTGAGTCTTGCTCTAGTTTTCCTCAAGTTTAAAATCAGCAAAACAGACCCTATCACAAATTAACAGAGATGGCAAAGGGGAGGAAGGGCAGAGAAGGCAAAGGCACACTCCTCTCATGTGTGAAAGGGCCCCAGTCACAGTGAAGCCTGCGCACTGCCCTAGAACTTGAAAGTTTTACTCAAGTGGAGTCAGGCAACTGCCTGCTGTCCAAGAGAGGCTGTGGGACCTAAGACTTCTGCCTTTAAACTGGGATGAGTCACCTCCTTGAGGGACCTGTAAGATTATAGAAGAGTGTTTACATACTATTTATATGGCTAGACATCAACAAAAGGCCTTTCTCTAAGAACAGCTGAAGTCCTGGGGCCAGAGTCACAAAGGGACAACCCTCAGACCTTACCTCTGGGTTCCCGGCAGCAGGACGAGGCAGAGGGTGCCTGCGCTCAGGATGTTGTAGAGCTTTCCTATCTTCCGGCCCCAGTGCCAGGCTGCTATCTTCGGGTGGTCCGACTTCAGAGTCTAGGATCAAAGCCATGTTGACACTCAGCCAGAGTGCCATCTGCTCACCTTCACAGAGGCTGTCAGGCTCCAGGGCAATGGGGTCCCAGAAAGGCTGTGTGTAAATCCTCACTCCCAAGCTGGAACTCACACTGCAGGGTTCCCTGTCAATCCAGCATCCCTAGGCCATCAAGTCAGCTTAGGAGAGGACACCTGCTGCTCTTCCCTTCAGATGGGTCCTCAAGGTCCCTGAGCTCTTGGAGCTAGAGCACTAATGAGAGCTCTGGTCCTGCCACTGCCATTAGTAACTGTGACCTGGGGAGGTCACTCACCAGCTAGGAAACTAGACTAAGACAAGAGTTCCCAAACTGCAGCTGTTCACATTCCACCTGTACCTTCTGCTTGTGTATCCCTCTGAGGGTTTTTCTTAATAGTCACTTTCTTCCTTAGCATCATTAAAATAATACTGTCCATGTAATCACAGGTTCAATGAATGTGGTTGTTGTATATCTTAATGGGTGCTTATAAACAAGTTCATAACAATGAAAGTGAAAAAAAGTCCATTTAGGACCACCAAAAATCGTGTATGTATACTTTTAGAAACCCCAGATCACTAAAGACTTGTCCAGATCTCCAACCTCCTAAATCAATACCTCAAAGTCCCAGAGACAGCCACCTCAAGGACAAAAACCAGATTTTAGCATGTATGCAGAAGGCAAGAGAGTATGAGATCATGGAGAAAAAAATGATGGAGAGTGAAATAAGACTAGTGCCAGGGCAGAAAAAGACTAAAGGCTGAGTGTCACTTGACCAGGACTCTCCTAAGGTCCATGACCATCAGAAGGCCAGGTAAACCAGCTCCCTTTCCAGGACGCCATGACCCCCTCCTTCACTCACCTGCAAAACCTGCTGCTCTGAAGGAGGAGGTACGACGCGAAGTCCTGGGGGCCTTCCAGATTCAAGAGGAAAGCCCCTGAGCCATGTGTGGAGGTGCCTCGGGGTTAGGGCATGTCTGCCTTTCAGCTTCCAGTCCTTGCCTGTGAGAATGTTGAGGGCCCTCTGGGCACTGCCAAAACTTTTGAATTCTGAAAGCAAGAATACCAGTTTTGTTATTCTGGTTGCCAGAAAAGCAATCTGATCACCAAGCCGGAACCCAACCAGAGTCAAGGGAAAAGAACAAAACCAGAGCTGCTGGCCTGGTCCAGCCCAGGAGGACTACCTGGGAAACATCTTTCTGATGTCATCACGTCCCCCGTATTCCCCAAGGCTACATTCAGTGGCATATACTTACTCAGGAAACAGTATTTTTTCTGCTTTCCACTTTTAAGATCTTTAGGCAAGATCACAGCTTCCAGGCCAAAAAAGAGGTTGGAATGCTGCAACAGGTGTTCTCTGAAGGTTTCGCTCACTCCGGACAGGTAAATGGTACCTCGGTTCTCAGAGTCTCGTTCCAGCTCATTCACAAAGGTGTCACAATCAAGGGTGAGCTCCGTCACAGGCCTCTGCACCTAACCAAGGAAAGATGGCATTGGTGGTAGAAAGTCACCACCTCAACCCCCATGCCTGTTATATACTAGCAAGTAACTTCACTTTGCAGTTTCCTCATCTGTATAAGGAGGCTACTGGTAACTGCCTAACGGGACTATGGCAGAGACTTAATAGGCGATACGGATATGTAAATATTTTATTTAAATACACTCCCTCCTCCTTTCCTCCCCCTCACCACCCAGCAATGGAAACCAGTTCCCTGTCTTCTATCCCATGGGATTGTTTACTTGCATAAGAAACTTCAAAATAGTACCATCTGATCCCCTGAAAGTCAAAGGAAAAGTCAACCACACAAAAAATCACTCTGCATAAATAAGCTGGGCACTAAGCAGTGATAATGAGTACAAGGACGACCCCATGTTGCCCAGGCTGATTTGACAAAAACAAAAGCTGTCACGTCTTAGGCAACCGTAAACACAGGCTGTGCTACGCCAGGGCTGAGGGAAGGGTGCTGCTTTTTGCCTTCTCTGGCCACCCTACCTTGATGCAGGTATCATCTACCAAAATGCCATCCAAGGACTCTATGGCCAGCTGGGCAGCCTCCAGGACTTCGTATTGTATACAGAAATGTGGCTGCAGAAAAAGCAAGATTTCCTTACAATTGCTCTCCAGGCTCAAACTGCCAGAGAAGGGGCTGGCAAGAGGATCAAGCTACAGTGGTCAGAACCACCAGACCGGATGTCCTTGCTGCACTGGGCTAGACAGTGATGAAATCAGGTCTCAGAGATGCCCGCACACCCGTCTTCACAGCAGCATTATTCAGAACAGCCAAAGCGCAGAAACAACTAACGGGTGGATGAAAGGATAAACAAAAGGTGGCATATTGACACAATGGAATAACACTCAGGATTGAAAAGGAACGAAATTCTGACACAGTTCAACACGGATGAACCCTGAGAACATATGTGCTAAGTGGAAGAGCCAGACACGAAAGGACAAATACTGTATGACTCCACTTACATGATGGCGTACGGTAATCAAATTCATAAAGACAGGAAACAGAACAGCGGTGACCGGCCTGGGGGAGAGAGGACTGGGGAGTGATTGAATGGGTAGTGTTGCAGTGGGGGATGACGAACCAGCTCTGGAGAAAATTTACTTGGTAAAAATGGTTAAAGAGGCAATTTTATGTATATTTTACCAAAAAAAAGTTATAGAAGTTAGTCCTTGGACATACCCTGCCCATCCTTCAGTCTTTACCGACTTCCTGCTACAGCCATGAAGATGGAGGCTTCCTTGTTGAGTCCTTTTAAATAGTATGAATTTTTTAAACCACCCGCAAGTATAACTTTTTTTGAAAATTAATTTAGAGAGTTTTAATGTAAGTAACAAAACTTACTCCAAGAGACTGGAGAACTGACAATAGCAGCAGCAACAAAAGCCCAGCCATAACGTTCCTCCCACATCTCAATCCAGCTATGAGCCCAGAGAGAGTAAAGCCCTACAGAGATTTCCCAAGACGTGGAAGTCACTACTCTTTTGTTGTTGTTGTTAATCCTCACCTGACGATATTTTTTTCCACTGCTTTTCAGGGAGAATGAAAGGGAGGAAGGGGGGGGAGAGGGGGAGAGAGAGAGAGAGAGAGATCAATGTGAG